CACACACACACACACACACATACACACAAGCGCGCGCACGCGCTTCCACACCCAAGTATACACATACACACAAACAAAAACAGACATTGAGACACGCAAAATACACACACACACACTTACACACACACAAACATACGCGTTCTTTTATCTCCCATCCCAACCTCCTGTCTGCATAATATTACCAATCTATCAGCCCCATTGTATTTCAGAATATCTCCCTGTGTATATATCCAAGAACATTGTCAGAACGTTCACACAATTCCCAAAAGGCTCAGTATTTACATTCATGACATTTACAAGGGTTTTGACGCCATAACACAAGAATTTTGAGCTGCGTTTTGCAGAGACAACCAAGACTCAGGCGAAAGCAAACACTTCCTTCTTACCCTCTTACTTACTTACTTATTTGAGTAATTATTTTTACCACACCTACAAACCAAACGGTCTTCACATGACAGTACATGTATAATAATGAGAAGTCAAATCACCGGTGCCTTCCCTTTGCCCGAAAACCGCAGCAGAACTCGCGGTTTGGGAACTGAGGACGCCATGTTTATGACGTCATCCACCCGTGTATTTTGGGAGGAACTCCGCGGTTTCTGGTATATTCCTAGACTGTGGAAAGTCGGAGTGGGGGGGGAGGGTTACCTGTTGCCACAGGTATTCTGGCGGGAAGAGGGTCACTGGAGAAAGATCGGGATGACTCTTTGAGAGAGGAACGTCGTTGAAGATTTCTGTAATACAGGATCGAGTTTGCTCCGGGTTATATTTAGCTGGCGTCCGTGTGAGTCACTCGGGATGACTCTGGGGTGAGGTATTTTTGTGAGATAATGGGAAGAAAAACCCTGTGAGACAGCTCGTGAACTTGTGAGAAAACAGATCGTGGCTGGCGAGAGTGGACGTATTTGTTGTTGGTTCATTTCGAGAGGTCTGTGCACTTTGATGAATTAAGTTCTGATTGAGGCGCGAAAAATACAACCTACAATCTTTATATATATATATATATATATCTGTTGTTCTGTTGTTCTGTTGTTCTGCGTGTAAAGATGCTATGAAGTTATAGGGTAAGTTGTTTGTGGTGTTGTTCTCTGAGGACAGTTCACTTTGTTTTACTTTTATTGCCTTTATTAGGTGGCCTTTAAATGAACTATGTACGTAAATCGTCGTTTTCCTTCTTCTCCCTCTTCCCCCGCCTTTAAAAAAAAATCTGATCATCATTTTTTTTTTTCGAATTTAAACTTTGTTTATTTGTCACCTTACATTATTTTGACATTCTTATCATTTGAAATTATCAACCCTTTTCTGCTGTTGCTTCTGTTCTACTAGCACTTTTCTCGTAGTCAGTCATTGTCGCTTCCTTTGTTGAAGTTTTTTTGTTATTAATGTTGTTGGTGGGTACTTGGCTCTGATGTAGCTTGGTTTTTCTTTCCTATCGAACATTTTTCGTACTTATCACTCCTCCTTCTTTTTTGTGTTTGTTTCTGTCTTGCTACACCTCTAATCTTCGACACTTATATGACTATGACTCTATTGTGTTGCAAGTTCCGTAAAACTCTTGCCAAAATTTAAACTGATGTTGTTGTTTTAATTGTTGTTGCCAGTTGTATTTGTTGATATTGGTATTGATGTTGTCGTCGTCATCGTCTTTTGTTCTGTTTTGCTGTACATAAGAATAACACTTTTTTGTTTTGTTGGAGTTGTGATTGTTTTTTTGGTGGTTTTTTTTAACTTTTACTTGTTGGGGGTGGG